TTCCTTTCTTTTCCTTTATTATTGAAAACGTTTCATCGAGAATACGCCGTTGAAAGTTTAAATATTGTTTTAAGAGTATTTAGAAAAATACTGATTTACAAAAATGCTTTATAAATGTTAAGCAACGTTATTAAATTAAAATGAAATCTTTAAACAATGACCATTGAATATGCAGTAGCACAAACAATATTTGTGAAAGGGAGGAACTCAAGGTAAAACATGTGAAGTAATCCAATTATAACGTATATACTGCGCATATAAATAAAATTGAAGTTTATGTCTATAATGTTAAAATAACTGCATCTTTTTGTCTATATTTGTTTGTACGGCCTAATCATGCTTTACATGCATGAAGAAGAAGTTGTCAGAAGTGGCCTAGGTTACTGTTTGTAATTTTTTTTACGGAGACGAAGTAAAAGCCAGTATAAAATAAAATAAATGTAATCTAATAACATAAGAATAAAATAAAAAAGCGTAATAGATTGTTTTTATTTACATCAAAATATAAAATGAAAGTGGCAACATTATTGTCGTTCTTGATTGTTTGTATTGATGATGTAATTTGTTAATAATTACAAAAAAAAAGTTAAGAGAATGTAGTACAATCAACCTTTCAACCTACTGTTCTTTGTTTCTGATGTGTTGTTTATATCTGACAGCAACGGTTTCTCGCATTCCTCAAAATGCAGCATAAGTAGGTAATTGAAAAAAAATCCTAGTTGATGAGAAGGATTAGAAACAATTAAATTACAGAACAAAAAAGTAATAGTATAATAATTCGCAACTTTGAACTATCAGGTCTAAATAAAAGTAAGGAAAAAATATTGCTTAGTATGTATTTTAAGTATTATATGTGCACACAATCCCTAAATAATTGTTTTCATCTCGGAAATGTAATTTATAATTTTTTGTTCACATAACCTACGGTGTTATACGTTGCTAGTCTCGCCATTTTGTGTTCGCTAACCTCACATTACCCTTTTGTTATCCCACCCCCTGTTATTAATTGTTTCGCGTTGCTTGAGTACTAACAATTTCAAAGTGGATATAAATCATCGCTCAGTTTTCTGGAATGTCACTTTGTGCTGAACTTGCCGATGTACACACCTGTAAATACATCGTTTGATATTTCGCTATACGTATTTGTTCACGCGAAAATGTCGTATACGGATACAATCGGTTGACGTAGTAATTTTTTGTAAAACTTGAACGTAGTATCCTTATTTGTTTAAGTTTATATTAATTTGCGAAATCATCGCGGTAATATTGTATGATTTTTTATGCGGTACAACGCATGCCATCAACAACGTCACGCTTTAATGTTTATAAAATTGACAGATTTTTATAAATTTTAAACGTGATAATTGTAAACACATACCAAGAAATTTGCATTGTTGTTTTACGTAACATTTTAGTGACGTAAGAGTTTACGTATTAAATATACGTACGTATTTCACTACTGCACGCGTTCAATACAGATACACCCACACACATGTTCAATTTTGGCATTTATTGTACGAGAAAGCTGTCACATATAAAAGGAAATAAAGACTTCACTTAAGTACACACGTATACGTATACTAAGTTATTTTATCCACATGAATAGAAAAATCATAAAAATGAAAAATTAAAAACCTAAAACGCATTCCACCACCCATGATGTCATCGTTTGTTAAAGTTATTATTTAAATTATTGGGTTTTATTGTTTTATCAACTGGAGTATCAACCACTTTTTTAAGAACTGTATGTCGCACCATATCGAATAAAGGTATATTCGTAGACCCAACTAACATATTTTCACGTAACCCGTTCATTAATAGTTTCTAACGTTAAAGTACTGCTAGACTAACGACACGTGGTCCCTCAGATTGTAATGCCAACAGGTGCGCATTGGACGATGACTATTCTGTGATAAGATAAATCATTTTAGTTTGAACTAAGAACTTGACGCACCACAAGTAATCTGGCTGTAATTTTCATAATTAATATGTGGAAAATTAAATAAATAAAATAAAAACCTAGAAAGTTGGAGTAGACAGTGTGCTCGCACTGATTAACAAACTTGTGCATTTTGATATTTTTCCCGAGCATAAGCGATATCCTTTTCTAAATTAACGCGGTTCTTGTTTATCATCTGCCCAACAAGTGAGAAAATCAGGGGTCATCTGTCGATGGTTCATTTGTACCATTAGACACTTATTACCTAAACTACCAACCTGACGCTCTTTTTCCAATTAAAATATTTGCAGTCGTAGGTCACTTCCGGTTATAAAGGAAGTCGATATCAATTAGCTCATTTTAAACGGAATGCTATATTTTTTATAAGATTTTTAGATTTAGCGAAACTTTCTAGATCGATTTTGATGATACAACTTTATCTGAAAAATTAATAGTTCTCAAGATATTCCGATTTCTCTGAAAATTTTGAAATTTGCATTCCATATGAAATAGCAGATTATTCAGCTAATTTTGAAACGGCTGTCGTCACATTGGGAGATCAGCTATCTCATATCTAACTCTATCTGGAATTGTACCATTAATTCCTAATATGTATTAGCAAGAATAGGAGAACAGAGGACTCCATGGAGGTTATAGGTTGATAAGACACCTTCTCAGGCATGAAGGTCTAGTAAGAGACATATTAGACGCAAAAACAGGAGTTAAGAGGAATAAAGGTAGATCTAGATTGGATTATTGTTCGCAAATAGTTAAGGATGTGGGATGTCCTAGTTTTAGGGAAATGCAAAGATTAGCTCAGGATAGCAAAGTATTTAAGTACTCGATTATCCTTCGATGTTCTTCGTCAGTTGCAGCCTTCCTCATGTGAATTGAGTCTAATTTCCTGAATGCTTTTCTTACCCTTGCTTCTAGTTTTAGATGGGTATCAACTGGGTGATTATACACCATACGCTTTACATGACTCCATAAATAGATGTCGAGAGGGGGTTCAGTCGAGTGACCCAGGGGGCTATTTCCTAGGGCATTACTCCCAATCTAACGATATTTGAACATACTGGTTAGTTTAATAGCTACGTCATTAGGATTATATATCAGCAATCTCTTAATAATGCTAATGCCAAATTGTCCAAAAACGTAGACACAACCACTCCGAATTTTTGCAGCATTACTGCAAACATATTAAAGCTAAATCTATTCTAGAATTTTGAATCTCTAACAATATGAGGATTATGTAAGTCCGAAAAGAATAAATTTCTCCGATTTACAATACCCTCCCTCATAAATTTAGACACATTTGTCCATGTAAGTTTGGTAAAAAAGTTGGATCATTTTGCAACCGTACCAACACAATTTCACAAAATTCAATTCTTTCCGTATTAATCCCCTTGTCTAAATGCTTGTGAATTAATACAGGAATAGGGAAGGAATTTATGATTGAGCAACATTGTGTGAACCGATGAGACAGATATTCCCAAGTCATTTCCGGCTGCAGGAATGGAACTTCTAGAAGTGGCGTAAAAGTAAGCTACTATATTAATTTTGTTATTTTGGTAAAATTTGTTTGTCCCAATTCCAAAACGTAGAATCTGTGTTTCTATTCGCCTGAATTTTGTTTTGTTCATCAGAGGCAGATTCCGATACGTTTGGTTGAAAAGGGCATTTTCTACAACATCCTAACATTCTCCATTAATGTAAAATTACTTTAAAATATCGTTATTGGTATAATTGTTCTGTTCGTTTTGCAATTTTGATACAACTTTACACACTTGATTATGGAATACGGGCACAGGTTAATATTTACACAAAGACAAAAAGAAATATAACTAGACAAAAATGTATACAAAAAAATACAAAAATCTATATACATGTACACGAAGACAAAATACATAAAAAAAAAACGAATATACAAGGAACAAATAATATATACAAAAACAAAGAAATAGATATACACGAAGGACAAAATAGCATATATATAAAACAAAAGAACGACAGACAGAGTCAATGGAGGAAACGCACTTACTCGTTACTGGTGATCGGCACTAAGTCACGCCACGAGGAACACGAAGAAAACTGGTGGTTTGGTGGGCTCTTCTCCCTTGCCGTGGGTCGGTGGGATATTGGGACTGTCGGGACTGAAAAAAAAACTTTTGGGTGTTTCATTCCCACCAGCCAGTGACTGGTGGGCGGGCAGTCCCTCCGGACTACGCCGGAAGGCCCTCTTCAGCCTGCTTTCAGGAATCGTGGGAATGGGTGGGTGGTGGTTTGGGTGAGAAACATGAGACGGACGAAATGAAGACAGAAGAGAATGAAAGATTATCTGTGGAATATTACTGCCCCAGCATTTGCCTAAGTGAACCAAGGAAACCACAGAAAAACTTGGACCAAGGCAGACGGACCCGGAATCGAACCGGCGTCCTCCCGAATGTTAAGCAATAGTCTAAACCTTTAGGTCATGCCGCTCGGTTCGGTACTAAGGTGAGTAGGGGGAAAGAAATGAAAAAAAAACGAATTCGTTTTTAACATTACTTTCGCGGCGGAAAAATAAAAAATAGATAGCGGGAAGTGATTGAGCAGAGGGGAAAACATAGGGTTGGAAAAAAAGAGCACTATCGTGAGATAAAAATTGGGAAAGATAGAAAATGTAAACGTTACAGAAAGAAAGAAAAGCTGTAAAAAAATAGTAAAAAACACAAGTAAGGACATAAGATGGAAACTACAACCGAATAAGTGAAAAAAAAAAGATTATAAAAGTAAAATGAAAACGAAAACATAATTATAAGTAAAATTAAAATAGAAGTTAAAAGATAAGAAATGTAATGTTCGGTTGTAGCATGGGGTGGTAGACAGGTAATCGGGAGGCCCCATAGGGGTGCAGAAACCGGTCAACTCGGCCGGCGTTGTTAATTAGGAGAATACATTTCTAAATAAAATTCACGTCCGTATCAATTCCCCCCTGGTTTGAAGAAATTTAGTCTGCTGTATTCGGAACTGGCCGGAGTTGATCGTGGTGGAGCTTTACCAACCGGTTATTCTTTTCGATCTAGTATGTATTTCCTCCCACGTAGCTGTGAACTGTATGTGGACCGGACCATCGTGGGGCAAATCCAGCATGGAAATTTTGCTCGGCACTTGATAGAGAATGCTCTCTGCTGTAGACCAGTTGGTGGGGTCTGTACCGATGTACTTCAGATTCAGGCACGGCTCGTTGCTGTTGGTATTCCCGCTGATGTCTTCGGATGTCGTCGACTCGTTCCCGAAACGTAGGTGGTTCTATTACATTTCCATCTTCTGTAACGTTTTCCCATTCGCCCGGTCGTAGGAGAGGCCGTCCAAAGAGGGCGTAATAGGGAGTAGTGCCAGTTGCAGCGTTTCGCCGGCCACGTTGGTCGAAAAGTATTTTGGACAAATGAGTGTCCCAATTACGATGCTCTCCTGATTCCAGATACATGCGAAGGCCGGTCTTAATCTCCTGGTTGCGACGTTCAGTTGGGTTTGCTCTCGGATGATACACGAAAGTGGACCAATGTCGCACTTTCCATTTTATACAAGCAGCCTTCCATCCTTGACTTGCAAACTGGGACCCATTGTCGGAAAGAATTGCCTGAGGAAAACCGAAACGATGTAGGACTTCCTGTTCCAATAGGCGCACGATGATAGCGGTGGTTGACGAGCTAATAGGGAAACATTCCACCCAACGGGAAAAAATATCGGTGACGACTAAAAGGAATTCTTCCCTCTGGAGGTACGCGGATAAGGTCCAATCAAGTCGAGTGCTATAATATCCCAGGGTTTGTCGGATTGGCGGGGTCGTAGAGGAGCTGGAGTTACACGGTGCTTCTTGTAACATTGACAAATGCGACATTGTCGAACGTGCCTTGCAACGTCTGACTTCATGCTAACCCATTTAAAAAATAGTGATAATCGCCGAGTGGTTTCCTGGATGCCTGGGTGTCCTGCCTCGTCATGGTATTTATATACGAGTTGCGGTTGAAAGGATGTAGGTACAACCATAAGCCAATTGCTTGCCTTCTTCTGCCAAAGAACGTCGTCAAAGATCCGATAACTCTGAAGAAACGTCGCGTCATCATCAGTGTGACCCAGTGGATTTTCCGTCAGAAAATCATGACGCTGTCGAAGTTGAATTGTGTCTGGATCAATCTGTTGTTCCCTCCTGATTTCGTCACGGAACGTTTCAACCTGAATTTAACATACGCCTGGTGCAGCGGCTTCGTTACGGGAAGGTGGGAGAAGACGAGTGACGTCATTACTGTCAGGAGACAGCAAGTCGGTGGCTGGTAGCGGGACAAGGCGTCGGGCAGGTGATTGATGTTTCCTGGACATTGTTCCAGGGTAAAGGTAAACTCTTGTAGAAGGAGTGCCCATCTGATTAATTTGGCGCCAGCGTCCTTCATGTTTTGTAGCCATGTAATTGTTCTGTTGTCAGTTCTTAAAATGAATCTTTTATCTTCCAAATACGGACGATACTTTTTCATGGCCCAAACTATAGCGAGGCACTCCTGATCGTTGCTGTGGTAAGCTCTTTCTTAGGGATTAAACCGGGTACTTGCATAAGAAATGACTTGCTTTTCTCCCAGGGGTCCTTCTTGGTATAAAACGGCGGCGGCTCCTTGCTTACTAGCGTCTGTTTGCAATATGAAAGTCTTTTCGAAATCCGGCCGATGGAGATGAAGCGGTTGCTGCATAAGCCTTTGGATATTTCGAAAAGACTGCTGGCATTTTTGACTCCAATTCCACTTCTTTCTGGGGCTTAGAAGATCCGTGAGGGAGGCCGATACCTCCGCGAAACGGGGCAAGTATTCCCGCAGCCAATTGCATAAATCCAAGAACATCTTTAATTCTTTTCTTGTGGTTGGAACGGGCGCTTCGTAAATTCTACCAAGGTGGCTGAGCAGCGGAGAGTTTCCTTCTTCAGAAATGAGGTGCCCCAGATAGATTACTGTCCTGGACCCGAAGACGCATTTTTCGGGTGCGCAGGCCAGGTTGTGCTTCTTCAAACGTTGGAATACCCGACGTAGGTGCTGAATGTGCTCTTCCCATGTACGTGAGAAAATAATGATATCGTCAAGGTAGACGAGACAAAATTTTCGTAAGTATCCCGCTAACTCTTCTTGACCCATCGTACGTTGAAATGTAGCGGGAGCTCCCTTCGCCCGAATAGCATGACCCTGAAGTGAAATTTCCCTCCGTCCGGGGCGGTAAAAACAGTAAGCGGCCGGGATTCGGGATGCATCGGGATCTGCCAATATCCCGACTTCAGATCAATGGTCGAGAAAATGTTGCATTTTCCGACGGCCTTTAGAGTTTTCGGTATAGCGGGGAGGAGCGAAACTTCGTCGTAGGTGATATTGTTTAAGCGACGGAAATCCTCGCAGAACCTTGCATCACCATTCTTCTTGTTGACCAAAACCACGGGTGAGTTGTACGTTGACTGGCTTGGTTTTATAATGTTATCTGCCAGCATTTCCTCGACTTGTTCTTGGATCAATTTCTTTTTTCCTTCGGAGTATCGATAAGGCGGAAGGCAAAAGTGTTCGTCTTTAGAAAGACGAATAATGTCCTGAGCAGTCTTAGTCGGAGACGTTGGCTTCGAAAATGCCGCTGGGAAATCCTCTATTATTTTCCGAAACTGATTGACGTAGTCCGGGGGAAAATTCTGCGTAACAAGCTGTTCACTGGGCGCAGTCTGTATGCTAGGAGTTGGCGCTGGTCTAGCCAGTAGATAGTCTGACGTGTATTTATACTTCCTCTCAAAATCACACGTAGCATTAACCTGTAGGAGCCAGGGCATTCCAAGGATGATGTCATTCTTTAGGCCTTCAGCAATGAGGAACGGAATTTCTTGGGGAAACTCGTTGACATGTATTGTAAGAGATACGCTGCCCAAAATACACATTGATGTTCCGTAGGCGAGGCTAGCGTCGAAACGGAGACTGGATGTAGGTCGTGTGTCAAAAGGGAACTAATAAAGTTGTGGGATGCTCCTGTATCCAATAAGGCGTCCACGTGTGTTTCCTGTAGGCGGAGTGGTATTTTCGGCATCCAACAGGATGATATGATGATCTGATGGTTTTGAATTGGTGTGTTCCCGGCCTTTAGTGAGGGCGCTGGGCGGGCGTGCTTCCCTCGGCCTGTCTCCAGTTTTCCGATTGAGTGGAAGTATTTGGAGCGGCTCGTTTTCCCTGGAGAATCGGGCAATCTTTGCGAAAATGCCTTTCCGGACAATAATGGCATCTCGGTGGGGTTGTCGCTAGCGGTGTTTTCGGCAAAGTTCCTTTTGGTTCGTCTCGCGGACGAGCAGATAAAGAGGCAGGAGTTTGGGCGAGATCACGCTCGATCTCTGTTGCTCTCCTGAGCAACTCGTCAAGACTACTTGGTTTAGGGGTTCGTAGGACCGAGGGTCGCAAAAGCTCGATTAGCAACTGTATACAATCTTCTTCCGGTTTCTTCGGTTAGAGCCTATACAGAACATTTTGTTCAGGAGAAATATTTCAGTCTCGTCCTTATTCCCCTGTTTGTGACCATATAATTGAGCCCTAAGGTTTGTGAGGACTTCTGGACTGTTGTATTTTGCTAGGATCCTGATTTCGAAATCTTCCCATGATAATTTGAATTTTTCGTAAAGGCGCCACCAGGAAGCCGCGTGTCCCTTTAATTCCTTGGCCACATATTGTACTCGATCGTTGTCCTCTACCTTGTATTTCTGGAAGTAGGATCGGCAATCTTCCAAGAAAACCCCGGGATCTTCGTTGGCATCTCCGCTGAATGTAGGGGCCGATGGTGTTGCTTGGGTGCTTGTTAAGACACGCTGTAGAATGGTCTCTAACTGAAACGCACTAAATTGGATGGTAGATTCGTTATTGGGCGCCACTTGGTGTTTAGGCACTCCAAGAAGTGCGGTGTCTTCGTCCATGGTTATCTTCCTACTCTTCCTTGGTATTTTTAATCAGTTGGCTGGCTGGTTCAGTTGAGTTCACAGGCGCGGATTTGTTCTATTTCACTAACAGATTTTTAGCCCCACGTACGTTGGGCTCCACTTGATACAACTTTACGCACTTGGTTATTGAATAGAGTTTATTTACACACGGGCACAGGTTAATATTTACACAAAGACAAAAAGAAGTATAACTAGACAAAAATATATACAAAAAACCAATAAACTATATACATGTACACGAAGACAAAATACATAAAAAAACAAACGAATATACAAGGAACAAGGAATATATACAAAGACAAAGAAATAGATATACACGAAGGACATAATAGCATATATATAAAACAAAAGAACGACAGACAGAGTGAATGGAGGCAACGCACTTACTCGTTACTGGTGATCGGCACTAAGTCGCGCCACGGGGAACACGAAGAAAACTGGTGGTTTGGTGGGCCCTTCTCCCTTGCCGTGGGTCGGTGGGATATTGGGACTGTCGGTACTGAGGTGAGCACGGTTATTTATACAAACCTCAGCACCGAGCAAGGGTTAGGGAAAAGCGGGGTTGATAGTGGGGTGTGAAGAGTAGGGCGAAAAGAAATGAAAAAAAACGAATTCGTTTTTAACATTACTTTCGCGGCGGAAAAATAAGAAATAGATAGCGGGAAGTGATTGAGCAGAGGGGAAAACATAGGGTTGGAAAAAATGAGCGCTATCGTGAGATAAAAATTAAAAAAGATAGAAAATGTAAACGTTACGGAAAGAAAGAAAACCTGTAAAAGAAATAGTAAAAAAAACAAGTAACACAACATTAAAAAACTAACGTGAGTTTTAATCATAAAACAAGTTCGTCAAACCGGGCGTCAACAAATACATTCTAGAGCAAATGGATTTACATCAACTACAACATGCATAATAATACCGAAAATAATTAGCTATATTCCCAATCTGCCAATGGAGGTAGATATGTTTTCTACCACACTAAAGAAGTTCACCTTCTCATCGGCGCAAGACTTTTGTGGGAGTGTCTTTGTATAGGGGAGATACAAGTACAACCAGACCAACCTCTGCTACAGAAAACATAATTGGGTTGAATCCTGGCTGGCTCGGTTAAAAGAGCTAGTATGAATGCATGTTGTATGATGATGGAACGTAGTCATTCAAACGAACAACTTCACCAACAGATGGAACGTTTTTGGAGACTGGAAGACTATTACGTAGAGCAGGACAGTGTACAACTTAACCCGTATATATTTCAGAGAAACGTCAACCTGATGGAGAGACCTGATTAAGAAGAAACTTGACGAAATTGTAAATTAACGAGAAATTGGGATGAAGGGGTTATTCTCACACAAAACGTAAGCAACCTACTATGGACCGCATGTAATATTGAAATATTAATTAATATATAATAATTCTTCTCCACTTATTGCGAAATAACTCTCAATGAATATTTACCCTTTTTATATAAAACGTAATCATGTTTAGAACGTAATGGAATTTGGTGTTGTCTGGTTAATCGACGCAGAATTTGGATGTTCTCTGAACTTGCCATGTGAGTGTCCACACGTTCATCAAATTTGATTCGTTATTCATCAATTGTTGGAATTTCTACCAAGTTTTCGATATTAAACCTTGTGACAGTATCGTCGATATCATCCACTGTTGAATTCTCCGGCTTACTCGTTTCCGGTGTCTGTATCACATCCGTAATTAGTCGATTGGTTGGCCATTTTAATGAGTACGACTGATTCTAGAATTTCGTGGGTTTAAGCGCGTCGAGCTGGATTCGAATGCGTCATTGTAGGTACAATTCGTTTAGAGATTTCCCGCAAGCTAATGGTGTTGCTCTGTAACGGAAAAAAACTTCATGAAATTTTTTAAATTCTTAGCTGCTGAATATCATTAAA